CTACTTTTTATTCAGAGATGGTTAGACTCACATGTGGTTATCAGAAACAATAACGTGATTCCATACTCCCTCCTTCGTCCAGGTTCCATGGACACACACATCGTGCCTAGCTCCAGTGAAATCACAAGAAACCCACAGTGCTTATTTAGGTCTCACTAGTTCATTCTGCATTCGTGTATGAATTTAGTTCTCTGAAATTGTATTCCCTGTACAGACCTGTGGAACTTCCATGGCAGTCAAGAGTCAGGCGGCTCCATCCTGGTGGAGCCTAAGCCATGGCTGCCTTTCCTGTCCTACAGCCCGACTCCTGGCATTGGTGGTCAATTGATCCAATGAACAGTTATTATTCTGCCATATGCAAATCAGTCTACCAAGCACAGTGATTGATAGTCAGGTAAACAGTATAACCTGACGCTTGGGAGTTCAGGAAGGAACCTGACTGACTGGGTTCCGATCTTTATTGGCCACTGTGACTTCGGGAAAGTATTTAAGCTCATCACAACACAATATGTTCTTCAACAACATGAAGCTAATAATAGAACTGTGAAAAAATGTAAGGGTGAGTTGACTTTTTTTAAGCAAGTGGAAATATCTGACATTTAACAAATAGATGGATGTTATCATCTAAGAGCTCAACCCTGTGGAGGGTGGGCAAAATTCTAACTAGGTCAGCCTGTGTTAAATAATGCTATGTAAATATAAACACAGAATAATTCAAGGACAGTACAAAGGGATAAGCGCCAGCTGAGTCAGGCTCCACGGAAAACAGAATATTTGTGCGGGGCTTTGAAGTATGAGTAAGGCTTTGACTGAAATAGAAGAAAAGGAAAGATGTTCCTGGCTGATAACCGGCTGTTCTGTGTCCTGAGGCCTAAGAGGGCATAGGCCATTCTAAAGACTGAAACGCGACCACAGAGGCTCTCGCGAGACTGGAGGGCCAGAGGGAGCCGGGCCCTGGTGAAGGTTGGAACAAGGCTTTGGAGACAGCACTTGTCTGACTTCCAGACAGCGCTGTAGTTGGCACTCCGGCTTTGCAACCCTGGAGAAACCTAGAGAACAGGAGAAAAGTGCCTCCAAAATGGACCCGTTTTCTAAATAAAAAAATCGCAGACAGTGGAGATCGGTTATAAACAAAAGCAGCTGCATGTCACACACAGTCCGTGTTCTTATCACAAGCATCCAATCTGGAGCATTCCAGGCAAAGGAATGAAGATTTACTGTGTGGATTCACACACCCCATCTGATCTGGCCCTGCCAGGGCAGTTCCCAGGTGTCCCCAATCCCCTTTCATCAGGGGCTCAAACCATCAGGTGCAAAGGAAGCCTCTGGCGGCAGACTGGGTGCTTCCTCCTTTCTCTCCCCAGGACCCCAGTGGTAGCTTTGGGTCACCTGACTATCTGCCTTCTTCTGGCTCTCAAGTGGTGATCTCTAAACCTGGGCCTACCTCAGCCTTTCTCAGTTTTCCTGCTTCTCTCCAAAGAGCTTCCCCGCCCTCCCCACTCCCCACCGGGGGGCGGGGAGAAGGGCGGGCCTTGGCCTCCCGTCTTTGCTGAGACTCTGGTTTCACTATCCCAGGCCTGTGGAGGCCTCCAGCTGCCCTTCACAACTTCCTCCTGCTTCTCTGGTCTCAGGTCTCCCCGTGACCTTGGGTGTGGCACAAAGAACAACAACTGCTTTGAAAAACATCATGTGCCATCAATCATTTGTGGTCCTCATTAGATAAAAAGAAAGGGGATGGACAAGGAGAGCTTATTTCACTTGCTACCACAGTTATATGGTTAGCTCTGCCCAGACTGGGGTGGGCGACAATTTTCTAGTAGCCTGACACATTCCGTTTTCTCTTTCATGGTTATATCCACGAGAAAGAGAAAAAGACATTGTAAAACGGCCCTTGCTTGGTGGATGGTAGTGATGGTTTATGGTTTGGCTCTGAAAACTAAGAAACCAAATAATAAAAACTTGCCTTTCCTCCAAACAGAGTGGAGTATATCAAATAGTCAGAAATTATGAAGATGACATGTAGCCAAGCACGACTTGAAAATAAACACCCACAAGAAGCCCTAAAACAACCTCTTGCTGTCTCCAGTATAATAGAGATGTCTTTCTTGTCTGGGAAGGGTGTTAACTGCCATGACATAATCCCCTTCACTTCAGTTAAGGGCTTAGTAAGGAGTAGGGCTTAATGGTCCATATTGTCAACACTGTACCTTCCCAACAGGCAGGTCATGCTGTACATCCTACACAGAATCCACTCTTAGCCATCAAGTACAAGCCATTCTTTACGGAAATAAAGAAAACATTGAACTGTGTCATTTAGAGGGAAAGAAGTCACAGTAAGCCCAGATAAGCAAGAGAAAAGAAAAGAAAGACGAATTTTTTCTAGTCTTATATCCCAACCCCAACAAATCCAATCATAAATTTGGAAAAATAACGAACTTTTTTTTAAATCCCCCAAGTCCCTACCCCAAACCTTTTATATAATTTGGCCTTGCATCATTCATAGTTAGGCATACAGTGACAGTGTTTTTCTTTCCTTCACCCGGGTGGGGGACGGCCTGTGAGGAAAAGACAGAAACAGAAGCCAGGGCTCAGGAGGGTAACTTTTTTTTTTTTAATGTGATAGTTTAATCTGTTTAAGAATTTGTGTCCTGCTTCTCACTGCAGGGAGACACACCAGCGCAGGAAGAAAGGTCATTTCCTGTCCCATTATGGGCCTCCGTCCCCTACAGCCTCCACATCCGTTGCCCAGAAGTGTGTTTTTATTTTGCTCTGCAGTTCTGAGAAACAACCCCAGGGCCTTGAACATGCTAAGCACTGAACCACTGAGCTGTACCCCTGGCCCTTTCCAGGGTAGGTTTTAATTGACTTTTCTTTCCAAAAGTCTGAGGGTCTCAAATTATGAAGCATAGTAAATCCCTCAAGAGTCTTGTTAAAGTACTCTGTTTGGGGTCGCTCCTTGGATCTAGTCATAATTAAGATTTCAGGGGATTGGACCTGCAGCATATTTTAAACGAATTCCTTAAGAAATCCTGGTTTATGGCTGAGTTTCAGAATAATTTTTAAAACATCAGATCAAAGTGCTCTGGACACCTGGGTGTGGGGCATAGACAGCCGGCCTCTGAAAGGCCCCTTATCTCAAGGTAGAGGGCTTGCTTGCTATCTGGATGTTTAGGCAGGCCCTAACATGGTAAGTCACACAGCTCACAGCACAGTGGTCAGACTTCTATGAAGAGTCTCTCCAAGAGAGACTCTGTTGCTCAGGGTTCCCTAGTCTGCCCCCTGCTCAGCGGATAGTGGCCGTGTAGTATTGGCGTGACCCATTCCACTGAACTAATGATTTAATCTATGTCTTCCAAAAAGCTTCTGTGGGCAAGGCGATCATTTTCCCCACAGTCCCTGGCACACAGCCATTGTCCTTTAAATGTATACTCAAGCAAACCACGGTGTTCCAGCTACAATCAGGTCACTACCAAATAGTCCCAGTTTTGCCTATAGAGAGCCCCTTCATGGCTCCCATTCCTTCCTAGAATGCTGCAGATTTTCTAGCATAGAAACTGGGTATTGTGTCTAAAATTCTCCTGGAACAGGGTGTCAGTTTTATGGGGGCGTAGGAATGAATGGCAGAGGCTTGAAGTTCTGATTACATTACTATGAAGTTAGTTTGCATTTTAATCTTTTAAATTTTATTTCTCTCTCTCTCTCTCTCTCTCTCTCTCTCTCTCTCTCTCTCTCTCTCTCTCTCTCTCTC